GCCTGCCAGGCTCTTCGATCCATGGAATTTTCCAATGGAGCGGGTTGCCATTTCCTACTCCAGGGGATCTTCCTGACTCAGGGATTGAACCCACGTCTCTTGGTCTCCTGCATTGGCAGGTGGATTCTTGACCATTAGTGCCATTGTACTAGAAGTCAACAAAACCCAATCTTACATTTATTTCATTAAAAAAAATTCTCCTGCAGCCTTAGGCAGACCAAGGGAAAAAAATCACAGATAGTGGGAAGATACGGAAAAAAACTCACAAAATTATGTATACCTTTTCCTTAGAGGTTTTTTTGAAGTACTAAGTGAAATTTTATATTTTTCATAAGATTTCAAAGCAAGAACTTGATGCCAGAAATACACTTGGAAATGAGAACAGCTTGCCACCGGCAAGCTCTGCTTAAACCTGTTACATGTACACATTGACAGTGAATCCAACTCCTTCATGTATTTCCCATCAGATAAAATGTATAGACAGAAAAAAGAAATTGCAAAAGTTAGAGCTAAACTGAACCAGTCTTTTACTGTATCAAATTCAGGGAGTGACTAGCTTGGAGTAATACGTGGTGAAATGGAAATCATATTTCTCTAGTTCTACCTACTTTAGACACTATCAACTCCATCCTTAGGAACAAAGAGGGAATTTGGGTGGGAGTTAAGAAAGAGGAAGCTGGAATTGTTTAAAAAGTTATGTATTTAATTATTAATATTTGTTCTTCAGAGATGTTTAGTGAAGGGCTTTTTTTTAAACTTTTAGAAAAATATGAATCAGCTGTTACAGTTTATATTTATTTTTTTAATTAAGGGTAAGCAAATGGTGTCCAAAGTAAGTGACTTTTTTTTTTTTTGACTTGTTCTCTTCATTTACACCAATAAGCCTGTCTAGGAGTTATGACAAATTTATACAGACCTTTAATCAGTCAAGAGTTGGCAAAGAAACTGACATCCGCAGAGTCACACATTACGTAGAATGGATCCTTTTACCTCAATGGTCAATATCCCTGTAACTTGTGGGTAAAAGTAAGCGACTGAACATTTCACAAGAAAACGACCTCAACCTCCAGCTCACCGCTGTGGCTCTGAGGCGATTACTTTTTTTTTTTTTTTACCCTTTTCAAAAGGAAGCTGCTGCTTCAGCATCTTCTCCTGGAGCTCCTGGCACTGGTTCAGGCTGTGTGTCAGGGGAACCCTTGATCGCATCACAGTGACGGAAGCCAAGTGCTGGCCTGCAAGAATTGAGGACTGTTTGTTCACAGAAGATCCTGAACAGAAACACGGGTGTCACATAGTTCAAGGGGGCCTTGAAGGAAACCGATGCTGCCGTAGGAGGGGACTTCCAAACGCTCAAGTTATTTCTCAGTTGCTGTTCCAGAGCCCTCGCCCGGCTGTTATGGAATCTGGCCAAGAGTTGTTGCTTAGGCAGTTTCTCCGTGTAGTTCCTTCACTTAGTTAGACTTCAGACAGGGAAATAAAGGAGTTTTCATATATTTTCAAGTAGTGCCACGGTGATGGCCACTCTGTGGGGAGAAAAGTATTTTATTAATGAATGCAGTGTGTGTTCTTGGTAAAACCCCAAATTAAACTAGCTCACACTGTTTTCATCCTGCGAGCTGTTGGTGACATTTAGGTGTGTTGTTTGGTGACTCAGTTTCCTGGAGGATAGCAGGAAACTCCACATTGAGGCTTTTTTAGTGGGGATGAGAAGGTCAGTTACTCAATGTCTTAACAACATTTGGGGTTAAAATTCCTAAAAGTTCAGCACTAACACTGATCCTGAACAACTGTGGCTAGCCATATTGCCTATCAACCTAGGAATTTGGGAAAAGTAGTATTCTCAGCTCTATGCTAATATCAGCAGTAATTCTTCTTGTTTTAACAGTAATTTTTTATTTGAGCAACAATTTTATATAACTGTTTTTTGTTGTTAGTCATTATTTTCTTAATTGGTATGTAGATGTGCTCTGGTCATTTTTTTTCTTTTTTCATTCTCCAATTTATACAGTGCATGCAAAGGTAGTTAGAACCTAAAATACGTACACAGACCACATTTTTATTGTGCTCAAATGCTGATTGTCAGAGGGGCTAATCTATGATTGGGACATAAAATAGATCTTCTGAAACAAGCTGTCCTTCTTGTCACTGTACGGCCTTCTTAAGAGCAGGTCTGGTATTTGAGTGCATATTGTCTTGACGCATTGAAACTTTGCTGAATTACTTTTCTACTCTTAGGATTAAAAATTAAACACTAAAGTGTAACAGGTGGAGCCACATCCTGCTAGGTCCAAGGCCTATATTTCTGAAAAGCTTCGAGAAGTTGGGGACGATGGGAAGGGAGATGGGGAGGTCCCCTGGGGCTCAGATTTTGGAAAAATTGGAAAACAGGGGAGAGAAACACAACAATGAAGGCTTTGAGGTGGGGAGAGGGGATTCCTGGCTTCCGGATATAATCAGTGACTGGAAAGATGGCAGTGAACAAATCCTAGACACAGTGGTTATGCATCTTTAACCCACTTGGATGTGCTAACTGTGGATGGCCCAAATCAAATGAAATAAGTTAATTTCCTCTTAAAATTCCTACATCCTTATCCTATACCTTAGAGGAAAGAAAAATCCAAAATAAAACCACATAGTGCACGTACTACCATCACAACTAGGTTATGCTATAGTTACATATGGAAGATATTAAGTAAAATGAAAATGTGTTATGGTCATAGGTTTAATGATTGCTTGTGATCTTTAGGGTATAGGATTACAAGGAACTTTCTGCATTCCATCTTTGTTTCAGATTTTATAACAAACGTGTTACATTTTTATATACTTAATCAGGGAAAGGCTGTACAGATAAACTACTTTATACTTGTGATTTAAGATTATCTTTAAGGTTTTTCCTTTATTGGGGGGAAAAGCTCCAATCTTACACTTTAATTCACCTGGCAAGGTTAGGTAGGTGTTGGTTCACCTAAAGAAATATTTACAGAGATTGGTGTAGGAAAAAAAAAAGTGGAATAAAAGAGGCAGTTTTTAACCTAGAGTTCTTACAGTGAATAGCAAACAGTTCAAGAATCCTTGATAACAGCCACATGGCCCATGTAACAAATACTTTGAAAGTTATTTTAACTTTTATAAATTTTATATAAAAACCTATCTGGAAAACCCAAGAGCCTGAGATTCAGTCCATGAAATTTTTTGTTGTGCCACTGACCAAATTTCAAGGCAAATGGAGTCCAAATTTCAAGGGCAGAATTTCTTCTCCGATACCTGTAGATTTGAAGACCAAGAAAAATGATCACACCAACTTCATGTAAGCTTTTCAGATTATGCTTTCTAACTGACAATAACGGAAGTTTCATAAGATGGACTCTTCTTGGGAGTTTGGATGTTTTCCTGCTCTGAAAGGTTTGCTTATCTGCAGGCTAATAGAGTGAAGCTCTCTGCAATTGATCCCTTATGGTAGAGCTCCCCCAGGGTCAGTTTTTGTGAATAGAACCTGCTTCCATACGATGTCTTTGAATGTAGTCTTTTCTCAAGTTTGTACTTTATTCTGTGCATGGTAGGTAGAAACACTCTTTCAGACTCTTTCCCTTAGCATTGCAATACCACCCTCCTCCCTGATTTGCAGTTTCTCTGACCAAGGAAGCAACATAGGCATAAACTGCCTATGCCCATAAGGCATAAATTGTAAATTGCCCATAAGGCGTGGTGCATTCACACTGCCGTTGAAGATAACTCAGACAATTCTGAATGTGAAAATATAGCATATTGTCAAATCTGTGAATTCTAAGGAGTGCTGGCTCACAACATTGTATGTTTTTGTTTATGTCCACCCCAAAATTTAGACGTCGGGGCTGGGTTGGGTACTCAGCCTGGTCTTAATACAAATACTTTTAATTCCCACAACCGCCCTGTCCTCTTCAAGTAGGTAAATCCTAAACCCCCAGAAACCCTAAAATCCAAACCCACGGAAACTGATTGCGCGCGTCCTAAATAACCCAGTTTGTGCGACCCGTCGGGCTCTCCAGGGAAAGCTCGCAGGGTGGTGGAGACGCGGAGGTTCGGGGCGACCCGGACGGGCTGGGCGTGCGGGGTCCCTGCGGGCCAGGTGCGCGGTCGCGCGCGTGCGCGTGTGGTCCCCCCTGAGCCCCGCGGCGGGCGCGACCCAGGGCGGCCGGCGAGCTGGCGGCGGGTTCTCCACGCCGGGTTTTCCGCCGCTCCCCTAGCACGGGTCCCTGGCAGCCCCACGGAAACACACGCTCGCGCCCGCTCCTCGGAGCGAGCAGCGCGGGACCGCGCGGGGTGATGCGGCGGCGAAGCGGCGGGGCGACCAGGGGGCCGGGCGGGCCGTGGCCCCGGGCTATCTAGGCGTGAAGGAGTCGTGGAGGGGCCGGGCGGCGCCGAGGGCCGTGCGGGGCGCGAGGGGGAGTGTTCCCGGAAAGCCGCGGCGATGGAGCCGCGCTGCGCCCGCCGCCGGAGGAGTTGAGAAAGAAAACAGGAAACGTGGTGGCCGCGCAGCCGGCCGCGGCTGATTCATTCGCTTTGAGTGAGGGCTCGGCAGGAGGGGCGGGTGTGGGGCCGCGGCTCGGGCCGGTCGCCGCGCAGATCGCGCCGAGGACCAGACGCTCCCTCCGCGGGGCGGGCTCCTGGGCGCGCGCGCCACCCCCCTTCGCCATCCTCCGGGACCAGGACTTCTTCAAAGTCGCATCGTGGGGGTTCTGGTCCGTGGCAAAGTTGGCTTGGCGCACTTGGCGCGCCCTCCCTGGACGCCGAACGGAGACGCCAAGCTGGAGACGGCGTGCGTTCCCGAGGCCGGCCGCCCCGCTAGCAGAGCCCCGGCCCCCCTCGCGGTGCCCGGCTCGGCAATATGAAGAAGCAGCCCTCATGTGCGGGCGCCGGGCATCCGAGCATGGCGGGGTACGGCAGGATGGCTCCCTTTGAACTCGCCGGCGGCCCCGTGAAGCGCTTGAGAACTGAGTCCCCCTTTCCCTATCTCTTCGCAGAGGAGGCCTACCAGAAACTGGCCAGCGAGACCCTGGAGGAGCTGGACTGGTGTCTGGACCAGCTAGAGACCCTGCAGACCAGGCACTCCGTCAGTGAGATGGCCTCCAATAAGGTAAGCCCCGGCTCGGTTCTCACCGAGGCCCCTAGGCTGCTGATTCCCACGTTGGTGAAGCCATCAGTCCCCGTGGACCCGGGAAATAGAGGTTTGTCACACACACTGCATTTTGGCTCCCTTGGAAGAAGATTTCTGGTGCTGTCTGTGCCCTCCCTCTCTCATCCATTCACTCTGGAGAAATTAAACATTTTACAAAAGCAACTTTGACATAGTTTTGATTGCAATACCCGCAAGACACAGCATGCGTGTGTGTGTGTGTGTGTGTGTGTGTGTGTGTGTGTATGTTTATGTTTGGAGGGGTACTTCTAGGTGACACTTTGCCCTTGCAGCAGAAACGAAATCCTGTCTACTGGCAATCCATGTTTTAGGGTATTCTTCGTATTCTCAGTGGGAAGTAAGAGTTGCTAGAGGTCAATGCACTACCTTGGATGTCACCACCTACTGCACTCACACTCAGAAGAGTTCAGTGAACTTGGAACCTTAACCCACATTTATCTTAGTGTCAGGGTCAGGGTACCCTGTAAGAACTGAGCCTTTGTAATTTCGCTTGGCCGTATGTGTCCACAGGGGACGTCAAAGTTAAGGTTATGGTCACTGCCTTTGTTACTGTAGATCTTGGAGGGAGAGTCCAGTTTTCTGAGGTTATTTACAGTGATGATTCAATGGGGCATTTGTGCCATATATGCCAAGATGCTGGTCTTGGTGGATAGTGCAGTTCATTGGGCTGAGAAGCAACCTTCCACCTGGCACATTAAAGCAAGGTACAGTGTTGTCCGTTTTGGTGTATTTTTTTTTGGAGTTCCTATTATTTTTTTAATCTTTAGTTATGTAAGGAAATAATTGGGATTATCTATGTTTTTAATGATTGTTTGACTCAGGGGCTGGGAGGCACGGCATGTTGGATGGAGATGCCCGAAGGATTTAGCCAGTAAGGACTAATAACTTCATGTGGCAATTAATAACAGTTGCTCCTTAAAAATATTTAAATATTTTGGCCCACCTATTTACAAGGTCAGGAAGGTTATGCTATTTTACTGCTTATCTGCATGCACATATTTTTCAAAGAGCTATGCTTTTTTTTTTTCCTTAGTGTTCTATAGTTCTCGTCCCACCTGTTTTTCTCTCATTCAGTTTTAAAAACTATAGCGTATCACCTACTTGATTGTCTTATCTCTTGACAGTGCTTACATAGACAGCAGGATTTTTAATTGAAAGTTTAGCTTCAGATAAGCAAGAAAGACTCCCCAGTCGCTATCTGCAGGCACTAATCTACACATAAGCACACTGACCTACCCGTATGCTCACCAATGATCAAATCTGTATCTTTTTTTTTTTTTTGGCGTTTAAGCCTCATTTCTAAATTTGGTGTGATTCCTCATGAAAATGACTCCTACTCTCTGCCTTGGCATCAGGTGCCATTGTTCTTATCTAGCTAATAAATTCTTAGTTCATTGAGTCATTTTATAATATATAGATTGTTCTTTCATAATTTGGTTCATAATGGCAGTTGACATATGCTAAGGATCTCCAGTGTCCTGAAGGCTGAATGGGACCATTCTGTAATGGGCCTGAGTTCTTATTCTCTTGCCTGGTTAATTCTGTGTAGTGAAAGGAGAAACCAGAAGACACCAAAAGATGCGCAAGCCTTTGCTTATATTTTCAAGATGATTTGACAGTACTTTTTCAGCACAATGAACCTCAACAGCTGTAATTACTTTTCCCCAAAATCTATACTTTTAATGATGAGACCTCTGTTTGAATTTAAAAATGAACGTGAAATCTAATCATGTAAGTGACTTCAGTTGTCAAGCAATTAATTTATCTGTACTTTAAAACGAAAAAGTAAAATTTGAGGTCTCAATGATTAGTCAAAATGATTTTTTTTTTCTTTTAAAGGCACCAAGTAAGGCAAGGATTTTTTTCTTTTTCTTTTTACTTTTTTATTGTGAAGGCCCCTCAAGTAGACTTTGAGTTAATTTACAGATTTAATGTAGGAGGTGAGCTTATTTCAAGATGCAGTCATTCTAGCTGTGTTTAAGTCTTGTATTGACATGATCCTTATTTTTAACATTAAAAAAATTCTACTCAGCTGAGGCTGTTGATTAAACTTTTCATGTCTAAGCCATTCATTTTTTTTTTTCCTTAACTCATTCATTTCTAAATAAGTGCTAAGCTCCTGTGACTTTTTATAGATGAAAACGGATTAGCATAGAAAGAAAAAGCTCTCGGTAAAGGTTGTAAAGTTACCCTTCAGCCTGGTAACAAGGGCAGGAATAAGTCACATCCACATGAGCTGTAAACTGAGTTGGAGCAGCTGATCTAAAGGTCCCCAGGAGTGATACCAAGTCTAAGTCCGAACTGGAAATGTGACAGCTTGCGTCACACGTCCACTAGGTTGTGGAGTATCTCGAGTATGAATGAATAAGTCTGAAACATTGCTTTTGGTTAACCATCCTTTCTTTCTACATGTACTTATTTGAACCAACCAGTGTTGGTTGTTTTCTTTGTTTTTAATTTTTTGTTTTAATATTTTTCTTTGTTTTCTTCTCTTTTTGAGGCTTCAAAAAAAGTGCCCTAATTGATTAAAATAACACAATAAAATACTAGTAAGAAATCACGATTTTTAAGTGATTATTTGGAGAAAATATTTACTATGAAAGTGGATTTGGGTGTGCGGAAGGAGGAAATTTATTCATCAGACTCATTTAACAAATTGGGTTAATGGATTCATATTTTAAAAAATCTGAACAGAAGGAAACTTAACTATTAGCAGTTTTTAAGGGATGCTTTAGAAGCAACTAGATATATTTCCTGATTGGGATTGTAATGTGTGTAATGCTTATCAATAGTATTGAGACAGGAAAATTATAGAGTTCTTGGCCAATGCCAGTGTTGGCTGTAATACGTGTAGGATGCTTGTACCAAGTAGGGGTGAGATACTCCAGATGGCATTTAATTTGAGTGGTTAAATCGACAGCATTTACTCTCATAAGTACATTAATCTGCCTGAGATTTGTACAGATTTCCTTGAGTTAAGAGAGGTTTTGGTGATGTCTCAAAGCGTTGGTGGCAGACAGATCTGGAAGTTGAATCACAGTTTTATTTCTTACTAGCTGAGTTACATTAGAGCAATGACAAACTTTTTTAGCTGGTTTCCTTAGCATAAGATGAGCACAATGATACTTGTTTTGAAAGGTCAGAGTTCGAAAGAATATGTATAAAATAGCTAGCTAATAATGTCTGACGTGCACTATGCCTATCGTTATTAGTATTATTGGAGGTTTAGGTTCAACTTGATTTATTGCTTATTGGCTAAATTTTTTTTTTAACCGTTCAGTTGTAATCTATGCTTGGTATTTTAAGTTTCACAGATTTTTATAATCCAGTTCTTAATTTTTATAATACAGTTCTGTCTATAGGACACATTTCTATATTACAAAAAGTGTTTATACTTTCTTAAGCATAACATAGGCATAAACATTTTGAAGTTCTAATTAGAAGCTTAATCTTTTCTTAAATTTCAGTTACAGAATTCCAAACAGAAGAGCTAAATATTTTTCCTGTTTTATTCTAAAAATGAAAATACAGCACTTATTAATTTTTAGAAAATACTAAACATAATGTGGGATTGGTAGGTATATTTCCATCCTTTGTAAAAATTTTGCAAAGCTAAAGTAACTTTTAAGACTATTTTAAAGGCCAAATAGTTTCACAGTATTTTTGGTTACCTTTTTCTCATGAAAAGTAAATTGAGGCTGTGAGGAGAGTAGGCCAGGAATCTAAGCATCAAAGTTTACGCTACAAAACTATATCCTCTTGTGACCTAACAATGCACATTTCACCAGACCTTCAATGTAAGTGTGGCGATATTTGAAGGGGAAAATAAAATCATCTTAACCAACTCCCCACCACCACCAAATATATCACTATAAAAATGAATTGGTCGTCTTCTCTGAATTTGGGGCAGTTCTGAGGCTTGGCATTACTGGAGCCTACCTGAAGCCCTTATACTTCAAACAGCTTCCCTGGTGGTTCAGTGGTAAAGAATACACCTGCTAAATGCAGGAGATGTAGATTCCATCCCTGGGTGGAGAACATGGCAACCCACTCCTGTATTTGTGCCTGGAAAATTCCATAGACAGAGGAGCCTGGCAGATTATAGTCCATGGGGTCATTAAGAGTCAGAAAGAGAAACACACACACACACACACACACACACACACACACACACACAGCTTCACACGAGTCAGAAAGAGAAACACACACACACACACACAGCTTCACACAGCTTCAAACTGAAAGTCTGTCTGGAAGTTAAGATTCAGCTGTCCTTCTAAAAGACTTAAGGGGTTTGTTTTTGTTGTTGTTTTCATTTCAGGCATATGTAGGCCAGTTTTGCAAATGTGGATATGACTTCTTTATGGAATTTATTTTGTCTGGTTTTAACAAAGATCTCTATCATGTTTCTGTTGCCTGCAAATTAAATTGCTTTTCTGGGATGCTTTTTCCTAGTATTTTTGCTGTGTACTCCCCCTGCTGATTTTTAATAGTCAATGCATATGTAACATATACTATAGCTTTCTGTGATTGCTGATGTATTTTCTTCTGGCAAAAGTGGTGCTGGAATGAATACTCTAGAATGTGCATAAGAAATGGCTTACTCTTAAGATTTTTCAGCATTACATGAGTATAAGATGGCTCAGAAAAGATATAAATGCTTAATTTTGCTGAGAAGAAAGCAAAAAGTTGGTAAAGGCATTTTAATTTTGTGAAGACCTAAGAGCAAATAACAGTAATTTTCTTTAAAATATTAAAACTTATTGACATAGTCATGTAAGAGTTGTTAAGAGTTAATCAACATACTTAAAGGAAAACTCTTAAATTTTTAGAAAAGAAAATATCTTTCATAAATATAGAAACTCAGCATACTGATGCTTTAAGTTTGCTCTCTGCTTTTTCATCTACTTTATAAAAGTAGATTTGGCCAAGATTTATGT